AAACAGGGATCCCAGGGGCAAGAGGGTTTCCCTGGGGAAAGAGGGGTTCCCAGGGCAGGGAAAAGGGAGTTGCCAGGCTAGGGGGCAGGGAAGGGGGGCTCCCCAGGGCACGGGGCTCACCTGGGATCCGGGAAGGCCGCACAGATCTCCCTCTGCTGCTGCTGGGGGGCTGGGCAGTGCAGCTCTGGAGCCCCCCCGGGCAGGGGCACGTGGGGCTGTGCAGGAGAAACGGGGCCGTGTTCACCCCCGGGGGCTCAGGGAGGTGCCCCCGGGCCCCAGATGCCCCAGGCCAGGGGGGCAGGGCAGGGGCTGCACCACCTCTGCACCCGCCTCCGCTTCAGCACCGGGACCCTGCAGCTGGGGGTGGGCTTGGGGAGGGAGGAAACCCCCCCCCCGGCAACCAGCGGGATGCAGGAGCTGCAGGGAGGGACAGAGGGTGAGTGCCCAGGCTGGATCCTCCCCGGGCTCTCCCAGGGCTGGGAGACAACTGGGCCCACCAGCACCTGCAGGGAACTGGAGCCACTGGGAACCTGCCCGGCCCTGGGGGGAAAGGACTGGAAGAGCCTGAGAGACTTGGGCTTCTCCAGGCTGGAGAAGAGAAGGCTCCCAGGAGACCTCCTGGTGGCCTTCCAGGGTCTGAGGGGACCTCCCAGAAAGCTGGGCAGGGGCTTGGGAAGGTGGGGGGAGTGGGAGGACTAGGGGGAAGGGATCAAAGCTGGAGGTGGGGAGATGCCCGTTAGACCTCCGGAAGAACTAAGGGATCTTGAAGGTCCCTTCCAACCCTTCCCTGATTCCAACAGGGATCAAGCCTCTGGAGATGGGCACGGGAGGTGCCCCTGGTTTCCCTCTCATGGAACCCTTGCCCAGAGCTCCAGGAGGAGACAGGGAGACCTACGGGTCTGAGCTCTCTCTGGGGGCAGAAATTCCTCCCACCATCCAGGCTGAACCTCCCCCGGCCCAACTTGAGCCTGAGAAGAGCCCCCTCCCCCCCCGCCCACAAGCTGCAGAGCCAGGGGGTCTCCCCTCAGCCCCCTCCCCCCCAGGGCCCTCTCGGCAGAGCTGGGGGATCCCCCAAGGATCCCCCCGCAGAGCAAGAGCCGGGGGGGGATCCCCAGAGCCCCTCCCGGGCAGACTGACCTGGGCAGGACGGGGGTG